GATAAATCCACCAATCTAACTGAGATCCCTGAGAATTTAGCTCCTGTCTTGATTTTAGTTCTCCTCGCTCATTCAACAGATCTTTATATGTTTGTTTTATGTTTGTTTGTTTTATTAGATTTATATACCGCCCTACTCCCGAAGGACTCAGGGCGGTGAACAGGCACAAAATAAAATATATAGATACAAAAGTTAAGAACATAATTAAAACCAGATTAAATAATTTAGCCCGAGACAATTAAAAATCCCAATAATTTAAAACAGATTAAAATTTTGATTTAAAAGAATTTTAAAACAGGGGAGAAAATTAGGCCAGGCCAGCTTGTTGGAATAGGTGAGTCTTAAGAGCACGGCGGAAAGTGCCCAGATCCGGGATCCTCCGTATCTCTGGGGGGGAGCTCGTTCCAGATAGTGGGTGCCCCCACAGAGAAGGCCCTCCCCCTGGAGGACTTTTGTTGACTTTTTCACAATGTTAAATAGTATAGGATAGGTCAATGCTTCTAGAGATGATATCCAACAGGGTACTTTAGTATAATATTTTTTACTAAGCTTCTCCCAACTCCGAATTAGAATATTCCTTATGTAGTGCGGAGTAAACCATTTACTTACTATCCCGCCAGAGTGCCGCATGCCAACCTTGTTGCAAATCGTGGCCTTCTATCCTGAGAAGACAATTGTTGCTTAGAATCAGGCTGCAATCTTACACTGCTTACTTAGGAGTAAATCGCACTAAAACTGGTGGCACTTACTTTATTTTTCATAGCAGCCTCGGCTGCTCTTGAAAAGCTATATATCATCAACCCTAGCTACAGTACTTAAATAGATCACCTAGGGCTACTGTGTAGGGTAGACTATGTTGGGAAGTCAAAGAGAATGTCAGTGGCAGATCACTTGTGTACTGGACGTTGTTAGTACTGGGATGGAAGACCACCATGAGATCCTGTACAGAATAGTGTCTACAGTGTCTTGATAATATTATGTAAGAAAAGTAACCTTCTGTGGCACCTTCTAGACCCATGATGGTGAACCTATGGCACGGGTGCCACAGGTGGCACACGGAGCCATATCTGTGGGCACGCGAGCGTTGCCCTACCTCAGTCCAGCACGCATGTGCGCTCTGGCCAGCTGATTTTCAGGCCTTCTGGGCCTACCGGAAGTTGGGAAACGGGCTGTTTCCAGGCCTCCGGAGGGCCTCCAGGGGGTGGGTGGGTTGGGAAGGCTGTTTTTGCCCTCCCCAGGCTCCTAGAAAGCCTCTGGAGCCTGGGGAGGACAAAAAATGGGCCTACCGGGCCCTCACGTGCCAAAAGTTGGGAGGTCATGCATGCATGTGTGGGGGGGGATGGGGCGCATTGAATTATGGGTGTGGGCACACGTGCACGCAATCCCCCCCTCCGCCCGCTTTTGGCACGCGACGGCAAAAAGGTTAGCCATCACTGTTCTAGACAAATACACTGACACTATATGTTTATAATAACTGACTGTATCCTAGAATGAATTGGGCACCTTACAATATAACGTACAATATAATAAAACACAGTAAGTTAACATTGAAAGTTTCCTATTTCACTAGGAAACCGAAGAGGTCACTTCACACGTGTTGAGGTGATCACACCTGTTGAACCTCTACCTGTTCCATAGTCCTAGCAGATACAGGGCCCAACATTGCAAGGAAGGGGGGGGGATTTGCTTTGTTAACCCTTCCTTACCCCTCTGGAAGCCTCTCTCCCGACCCGCTTCTACTGATCATCAGAGGGCCCTGGGGAATGGAGACTCATTGTTGCAACTCCTTGCTGGGATGAGAAAGCAGCCTCGCTTATTCCGAAGGTAGAAGGTGCTCCTCGAATTAGTGCTCCCAATTGTGGTTGTAAATTGAGGATTATCTATAGAAGAGAGTACAGATAGTTATGACCTCTACTTACGACCACAACTGAGCCCAACATTTCTGTTGCTAAGTGCAACATTTCTTAAGCGAGTTTTGCCCCCCCCACGTTACGAGTTTTCTTGCCACACTTGCTAAGCGAACCGTAGCATTTGTTAAACTAGTAACATCGTCATTAAGTGAATCTGGCTTCCCCATTGACTTTGTTAGTCAGAAGGTCGCAAAAGCGGATAACGTCACCCTGGGACACCGTAACCGTCATAAATATGAACCCAGTTGACTTTTGATCATGTGATCACGGGGATGCCGCAAGTCGTTAAGTGTGAAAACAAACCGGCCCCAAGTCACTTTTTTTTCAGTGCCCTTGCAACTGCCAAACGGTCACTGAACAAACTGCTGCAAGTCGAGGACTACCTATCCTGCTGCATCCCTGCGAACGGTGAGTGCACGCTGCAAAGTCCCAGGTTCCTTTTGTTGTTGTTAGTTGCAAAGTCGTGTCTGACCCATCGCGACCCCATGGACAACGTTCCTCCAGGCCTTCCTGTCCTCTACCATCCTCTGGAGTCCATTTAAGCTCACTATTATTTATTTATTTATTTATTTATTGAATTTCTATACCGCCCTTCTCAGGGCGGTGAACAGAAGATTTCATATACATATAATATATATATATATATGTATATATTTATAAACAGTAAATAATAAATTGAGTCAACTTAGTGTATCTGCTAAGACCTTGGCATAGAATTTAGATGTTTATGCTAGCCCTGCTTGCTGAAACAGAAAGGTCTTCAGGGCACGTCGGAAAGTGCGAAGATCTGGGATTATTCGTATTCCAGGGGGTATTTTGTTCCAAAGAATAGGTGCCCCCACAGAGAAGGCTCTCTCCCTTGGAACTACTAGACGACATTGTTTTAATGATAGTACTATGAGTAAGCCTACTCTGTGAGAGCGTATTGGTTGGTGGGAGGTTATCGGTTGCAGCAGGTGGTCTCGTAAGTACTCAGGTCCTAAGCCATGGAGCACTTTAAAGGTAAGAACCAACACCTTGAAGCGCACTCAGAAGGCCACCGGAAGCCAGTGCAGCTCGCGTAGAAGAGGTGTTACATGTGAGCGCCATGTTGCTCCCATAATTACTATGACTGCTTCAGTGACTCCATCCAGCCACCTCATTCTCTGTTGTCCCGTTCTTCTTTTGCCCTCAATCTTTCCCAGCATTGGGCTCTTCTCCAGTGAGTCCTTCCTTCTCGTTAAGTGGCCAAAGTATCTGAGTTCCATCTTTAGGATCTGGCCCAGGGGTGAAATCTAAAATTTGTTACTACCGGTTCTGTGGACGTGGCTTGGTAGGGGAGGTAATGTGACTTGGTGGGCATGGCCAATTTTTTTTTAACTTTTAAAACCATTTTTTCTACAACCTCTTCAGAGAAGAGGTTGTTAAAAAAATGCTTTCAAAAGGCTCTGACAATCCGAACTGAGTTGCCTGATCGGTAGAGACTTTTTTTCTTTTAAATGCCTCTGACCATCAGGCAACTCAGCTTGGATCGTCAGAAGCATTTAAAAGAAAAAAAGGGTTTTTTTTCTTTTAAAAGCCTTTGATGATCCCAGCTGAGTCACATGATCATCAGAGGCTTTTTTTTTTAACTTTTAAAAGCATTTTTTTGGCCGAAGTGGTTGTAGAAAAAATGCTTTTAAAAGTAAAAAGAAAGCCTTTGATGATTGTGCGGCTCAGCTGGGCATGGGGGGGGAGCAGGGATTTTTGCTACCGGTTCTCCAAACCACCCGCCTCCATCGCTACCGGATCGGGCGATCCGGTCCGAACCAGGAGCATTTCACCCTTGATCTGGCCTTCTAAAGAGCATTCAGGGTTGATCTCCTCTAGGACTGACCGGTTTGATCACCTTGCAGTCCAAGGGACTCGCAGGAACCTTCTCCAGCACCAGAGTTCAAAGGCCTCCATTCTTTGGCGCTCAGCCTTTCTTATGGTCCAACTTTCACAGCCATACATTGCAACTGGGAAAACCATAGCCTTGACCTATACCAGGGTGGATAAAAATCAATGATTTTTTTAAAAAAATCAAAAAAATCGGATTTTTTTGATTTAAATCGGATTCTTTTATTTTTTTTATTTTTATTGAATTTATTTTAATAAAAAAACTTTTGCAAGATAGTTTTCTATTTAAGATACATAAATAATTTAGTTTATTCAGCATGAAATGGAGCTTAGTTATGTAGCATGAGGCTGTATATTCTGCAACACTGGGACTATCGGTGAGTCAACAGTGGGTCAAAGGAGGAGCAGAGATGACAGTTGCTCTTTAAAAATTATGATTTAAATCGAGTTGATTTAAACCAAGCCTTTTTACTAGTGATTTAAATCATGATTTAAATCGTGATTTAAATCGACTCGATTTAAATCAAATCCACCCTGACTTATACGCCCTTTTGTTGGCAGGGGGATGTCTCTGCTTTTTAGAATGCTGTCTATACCTCGCGGCAAGTTTGAACGGCGCGATCCTAATTCGGTAGTCGAGCCGGCCTCCTCTCCACCCGAGTCCCCGAGGTTCCGGATCTGCAGCGAAGAAAAATCGCCTTTTTTGCTTTGCAAGCAAAGCCGGGCTCTTTGCAGCAGGCGGCCGCGGGCGCGCGCGCGCAGAGGGAATGGAATGGAGGGGCATTGTCAGCCGCGAACCACTTTCGCTCGCGCGGGATCCTGGGAAATGCAGTCCGCGAAGGGCCCCCCGAAAGACAGCCCGCCTGAGGAGCCCGAACTACAACTCCCAGGGTTCCCTCCGGAGTGGGGTGGTGGTGGGGTAAGCCAAAGAAGCGTCCGACCGGCCTCAAGTTTTCAGTGTTAAGACGTTCCGCCCCGAAAGGAATGGCGAGGGCCGGGCCGAGCGTCTGCCTGGAGGGACGCCCTTTCCCTTCGCTTTCCCTCCCCGCTTCTCCTCGCCCCGCCGTCCCTCGCGTCCGCCTTTCTTGAAAGGGAAAGGCCTCCTTCCCGGCCTGCTGGAAAACCACGCCCGGAGGTGAAGAGCGAAAAGAGGGACTCTGCACATGCTCAGAGGCCGTTTTTTTCCCACCCACCTCGCCCGAATTGCGGCCGCCTCTCTTTTCTCCCCCCCTCCACCCGACAGTCTTTTTGCGCGTGATATTGCGGGGAAGGAAGTGCGCTTTGCACATGCTCGGAAGGGATCTCGTCTTTGCTCTTTCTTGCATCGCCCTCCGTTGCTGGGACGGCCCTTTTAATTCTTCTTCTTCTTCTTCTCCCCGTTTCGGTCTCCATTATCTGACTTGGGAGGAAGAAAGACCGGGCGTTTGGTGTTTGGGCACAGCAGGAGGAGAGGCTGGAATACTTTCTGCCCATCTTTGCAAGACGCTTTTTTTTTTCTTTCTTTTTCCTTCTCCCAACATTGGAGGTGGGGGGGAAAAATCCTATATAGCTTAATCTTTTCATGCTCGTTTTCTTTTCTTTTCTTTTCTTTTTTTCTCCCCTTCTGATAACTGGGCTGCCCGCTCTTTAAAGGGAGAATAGCACTCTGCGTATGCTCAGAGGCGCTCTTTTTGCCCCCCCCCCTCGGAATGGCAAGCCGAAGTGCCACATATCGGCCTTTGCTGATGGTGTGGTTAACTTGATGGAAAAGCCCAGAGGAGCACCATTTTTCCTTTTTTTTTAAAGAGATATATTATATTATATTATATTATATTATATTATATTATATTATATTATATTATATTATATTATATTATATTATATTATATTTATTATATTATATTAATTATAATTATATTATATTATAATATAATATATTATATAATATTATATTATATTATATTATATTTATTATAATTATATTTATTATATTATATTATATTGTTATGTTATGTTATGTTATACTATGTTATACTATACTATACTAATGCTATGCTATGCTATGCTATGCTATGCTATGCTATGCTATGCTATGCTATGCTATGCTATGCTATGCTATGCTATGCTATACTATACTATACTATTTTTTTAAAATTTGATTTATATGTCGCCCTTCTCCGGAGACTCAGGGCAGCTTACAATGCGTTAAGCACTAGCCTTCATACTTTCGTATATTTTATACAAAGTCAGCTATTGCCCCCACAAACTGTGTCCTCTATTTACCTACCTTAGAAAGGATGGAAGGCTGAGTCAACCTTGAGCCTGGCAAGATTCCGAACTTAATAATTGCAGACAGCTGGAGTTAAGTTACAATGCATTAGTCTGCTGAGCTATGTTATATTATATTATACTATACTATTATATTTATTGTATTATATATTTATTATATTTGTATTGTATTTGAACATATTACATTTAGAATATCATATGACATATTACATATTATATATTCTATTTTTAGAATATATTATATTATATTACTACGTTGTATTATGTGTTATGTTGCAAATATTCTGTCAGTCACTTCCTTTGTCATAGTGGGACAATTGCTTTTCCCACGTTCTTCATTTTTTTTTCTTTCCTTTCCCTTTTTATATTCATCCCTTCAAACATCTTTCCTGACTGCTTTTTTGTCTTCTCTCCCTTCCTTTCTTTTCCAGTCGCCTCGTTTTTTGCCGAAGATCGAAACAGTTTTACCATGAATGTTGGAATCGACAAGACTGTGGAGGACAAAATGCAAGTAAGAATTTGGGAAGAAGAAAGAGGGGTCCTGATCAGTGGAGGGAAGATCCCTGATCCCTTAAGACAAAAGAATGTATCTCTCTCTCTCTCTCTCTTTTTTTTTTTTTTTGCAATCTGTAGAAATTAACTGTTAACTTGTGATGTGACAGTAGATCTGGGGCAAAGATGACCGGCTTTGCTTGCAGATGATTAGAGATTCAGACACTAAATTTTCCATCTAAATTAGAGCACCAGATCTGGGCTGCAGAGACATAAGGGCGCACTAGGTGGCAGCTGTCTCTGTCTCTTTGCTGCCCTCTAATGGCAGTCTGAGATATTGTAGACAAGATCCCTGAGGCATTAAAAGATCACAGAAATTGGCAGTATGATTTATGCAGAACAGAAGAGGAATTGATGAAAAACAAGAAGTGTGTGTTGATGCACTCTCTACATCTGTTGTCTGCTTCTTAAACAGTGTTTCTCAACTTTGGTAACTTTAAGACATGTGGACTTCAACTTCCAGAATTCTCCAGCCAGCCAGAATTCTGGGAGTTGAAATCCATGCATCTTAAAGTTGCAAGATTGGGAAATACTGTGTTTTAAAGAACCTGTGCCTTTTTTTTAAAACTTCCCCAGCTCAGAAAATTCACATCCTTGTGAAGAAGTGCGTGACAAGAGTCTTGGATGAAAACTTCAGAGTGTGAGGCGCCTGTCACACCAAAACGTCTCTAGAACGGGCCTTGCAAACAAATAGTGTTTTTCTTTGCGCTGCTCATTTTAAATGGCAAGTAATACCAGGCATGGTCTCCCTCCCATCCAGCTTTAAAGCCCAGTGCAGCTTTTTACATCCCAAATTCTTCTCTGCCCCCAATCCTGGGACGAGCAAAAGGCTAAATTGTGATAGGATAATCTTCTAATCTTTTGTATCCACTCATTTTGGAAAAGAGGCACAGATCAGCAATGCCTGAAGACAATCTTTGATCCCAGTGAGATGTCACCTTAATGGGAAAACTGGCCACTTAGGCCAGAGATCTTGAAGAATTGCTGAAAATTGGGATTGATTGGGTGATCACATGCTCAAATGCATGTAATGCACCAGGGCCTGGTGGCTCAGCAGACTGATAGCATTGTGATTAACACCAGCTGTCTGCAATTACTGTAAGTTCGAATCTCACCAGGCTCAAGGTTGACTCAGCCTTCCATCCTTTCTAAGGTAGGTAAATCGAGGACCCAGTTTGTGGGGGCAATAAGCTGATTTTGTATAAATATACAAAAGTATGAAGGCTATTGCTTAACGCATTGTAAGCCGCCCTGAGTCTCCGGAGAAGGCAAATTTTAAAAAAAGAGTTTTACTGAACAAATCACAATGGCTTGAGTGCACAAAGCCATAAACCATGGTTTATGTGGCCTAATAGCTGGATTTGCAGCTTGCATGAAGCCAGTTCCAAACATACCAACCACATTTTAAGTGTCCACAATGCCAGCAATGGTTGTGTGTACTATTTGGTTTTATTAGCTGAACAGAAGTGTGTATGTTATTTATTAGATCAGTCAAATTAGAAATGTCTGTTGGGAAAACAAAATTCAAAGGGGCATCCTTCACTCAATACAAGAAACTTGAAAAGGGGAAAGAACCGTAGAATAAACCATAGATAGAAGTGTTAGAAGAAGAAAAATAAAAGAACCACTGCTTGGAGCTAAATGCAAAACCTACAACGCAAAGCTTACAAAAACTGGAATATTTCTTGCAATCCTTCTGGGATTTATTTCTTCTTTCTTTAGGACAGTCTTGTAAACCTTAAGAAAGAAAGACAGAAGGAGGGACGTAATAGTCAGGAGGTGAAAGACAGCGAGAAAAAGATAACAGAAGATAACAAAAATGAGTCCACATCGACCAAGGATGATTTACAGGTAGGAATCACATTCCCATTTCCTTTCTGCACACACACACCCTAATTCTGCACTGTTGTGTGATCCACTTTAGGAAGTGATGAGTGCAAAAGTTCCAGAGATAACATTGAGAAGAGTTCTCTTAGGGGCCTCTGGACAGAATGGGACGATTTGGTATGGCCAACATGCCGTGGCCAACTCACCACGGGACAATTTTAACAATTCAATTTTAAGTGTTTAGAAATAATTTTAAAATTATTTGAATTTTTGTTGCTCCCATTTCATTCTGTCCTGAACTTTAATGATTCTTGTTGTGGCCCGTCAGCGGCCTGTGCGGCCTGTAGCCGATTCTGACAGCGAGGAGGCTGGTGTGGTGCTGCGCCAGCAGCCTGTGCAGCTGGCACTTGAGTCAGACAATGAGGAGGCTGGAGAAGATGTGCCAGAGGCAGGGATTCAGCCAGGGCCTTCAGAACCTCCAGAAGCTCCTTTAAGTGAAGAGGATGTGGAGGAGGAGTCTCTTCTCGATGCACGGGCGCGCAGAGCTGCCAAAAGGCAGGAGTGGCTCCTCAGGAGGAGGTCTCCTTGAGAGTAATGCTTGGGGCTAATTGGCCACTCCCTTAGCCTATTTAAGAAGGAACGCCGACTGAAGCAAATTGTAGGGAACAACTTTAGTTCACTCTCCTTCGCGTCTGGATTCTCTGCAAATTGCTTCTGGGCTTTCTGCCAACCTTAGTAAGTTTGTGATTACTTTATCTTTGGTTTCTTATAGGCTGTTAAGGAAGTTTATTAACAGCCTTTCTTTGGAAAAGACTGAGTTATTTTAGTAAATTTAAGTTTTGTACAGATTTTGTGTGTGCTGTGTTCTTTGGGGACCGAAGCTGGAGCAGAACAGATTCTCTTCCACCATTTCTTTGATATTAGTGTAACCCTTGTCCCACAGCAAGTTGACTCCAGCGAATTGCCCATGCTGAGTTATCCTAAACCTGCTTCTGGAGGCTTCAGCTGCATTTTTCAAATTCCTTGGCACATGCCAGAGTGATGGAACAGCTCCATGGATGAAGCTGGAAAAGCATGATACAAAACTAAGTAAAGATGTGTGGTGTTGAAGCTCCCTTCCCTTGCAGAAAAATAATTACCGGGTGCTTTTTTCCCCCCATTTACTCTACAGCAGGGGTGTTAAATTCAAGGCCTGCAGGCCAGATCTGGCCAGTGGGGTGCTTAGATCTGGCCCAGGGGGGAGCCCTGAAAACAGTGACGGACCGTCCGGTGTTGCCTCTGCCAGCAAAAACGGAGCCCAGGAGGACTGCAAGCAGCCCCTTGGCTCTGTTTTCAGCCACGGTGGCCTCCTGCAGCCCTCTGCCAGCAAAAACAGAGCCCAGGGAGCCCGCTTTCGCTGGCAGAGGGCTGAAGGAGGTCATAGCGGCCAAAAATGGGGCCGGGGGGGCGCACATGGCCCCCCAAGCTCCATTTTCACTGGCAGAGGGCTAGCAAAACAAACTAAAAGGAAAACAAAACAAAAGGAGAAATGTTTGCCACTTTGCATTTGAGCATCCAAGAAGGGACAGGAAAGGAGAAAGAGAAAGAAGAAAGAAAAAGAAGGAAAGATGGGAAGAGAGCAAGGAAGGAAAAAGAAGGAAAGAGGAGAACAAAGGAGAATGAAGAGGGAAGGAAAAAGAAGAAAAGGAAGGAGCCCCCCAGCCACCATAGGTGCCCCCGATGCCAGTGATGTCGAAATGGCGATGCCCCCCCTCCAGGCCACTCCCCCCCCAGGTCAAACACAACCCTAACGCAACCCTCAATGAAATAGAGTTTGACACCCCTGCTCTATAGTGATTTTCTCTCCACTATTCTAGCAAAATGCTTTGTCCTTTTACTGACTAAACGTAACAATGCTGAGAATCTTGCTAGTCTGGTCAATTGAATGAAAATGCCCTAAATTCATAGGGTACAAATAAGCAATCAAATCATACTAGGAAACAATATAAACTGTAAGTGTACAAACAACAAAATTACAGTCATGCAGTCATAAGTGGGAGGAGATGGGTGATAGGAACTAAGAGAAGACTAATACTAATAGTAATGCAGCCTTAGTGAATAGTTTGACAGTGTTGAGGAAATTATTTGTTTAGCAGAGTGATGGCGTTCGGGGGAAAAACTGTTCTTGTGTCTAGTTGTTCTGGTGTGCGGTGCTCTATAGCGTCGTTTTGAGGGTAGGAGTTGAAACAGTTTATGTCCAGGATATGAGGGGTCTGTAAATATTTTCACAGCCCTCTTTTTGACTCGTGCAGTATACAGGTCCTCAATGGAAGGCATGTTGGTAGCAATTGTTTTTTCTGCAGTTCTAATTATCCTCTGTCTGTGTTGTTGGGTTACGGAACCAAACCAGACAGTTACAGAGGTGCAGATGACAGACTCAATAATTTCAAAGTTGACAACTTTAAGATGTCTTAAAGACTTAAACTCCCAGAATTCCCCAGCGCTGGTTTCTTAGTCTGATCTGCCTTGCAGGGCTGACATTATTTCATAAACAGCACTTTGCAAGAAATCTGGGAACAAGCATTTTGAATTGTTCCAAGAGACACGCCACCTTAATGAACTCACTACCAATGAAGAGGGAGATGTCTAGTTTCATGAAAAGAAGGATTAGGGGTGACATGATAGCAGTGTTCCAGTATGTGAGGGGCTGCCCCAAAGAAGAGTCCTTTCCAAAGTGCCTGAAGGCAGGACAAGAAACAAAGGATGGAAAATAATCAAGGAGAGAACCGATGTAGAATTGTGGAGAAATTTCCTGACAGTGAGAACAATTAACCAGTGGAATGACTTGCCTCAGGAAGTTGTGGGTGCCCCATCGCTGAAGGCTTTTAAGAAGAGACTGGACAGCCACTTGTCTGAAATGATACAGGATCTCCTGCTTATGCCAGTGGTTGGACTAGAAGACCTCAAAGGTCCCCCCCAACCCTGTTATTCTGTTCAATTCCTTTTAAAGTTTCCAAGTCAGATGTCAAACACTATATACCATATTTTTGAGACTATAAGATGCGCCTGACTATAAAATGCACCTAAATTTAGAAGAGGAAATCAACAAAAAAAAGTTTTTGGCCTCTGCGCACCCCATTTTCGGGCCTTTTTTGGGGGCTTTTCCAGCCTTTTTGGGCCCATTTTCAAGGCTTTTTTCTGCTTGTTTTCTAGCCTTTTTGGGCCCGTTTTCTAGCCTTTTTTCGGCCCGTTTTCAAGGCTTTTTTCGGCCCGTTTTCAAGGATTTTTTCGGCCCGTTTTCAAGGATTTTGTGGCCCATTTATGAGGCCTTTTTCAGACTGTTTTTTCTGAAAAAAAGGCCCAAAAAAAGCCTTGAAAACAGGCCGAAAAAAAGCCCCAAAAACTGGCTGAAAAAAGCCTCAAAAAATTGGCCAAAAAAAGCCCTGATAATAGGCCGAAAAAAAAGCCCAAAAAGGGGGGGGGGGGGGGAAAAAAAAAAAAAAAAAAAAGGCCGGCAGGTGGGCGGGGCTTCGGCAATATTCGGTCTATAAGATGCACAGACATTTTCACCCCCTTTTGGGAGACAAAAAAGTGCATCTTATAGTCCGAAAAATACAGTAGTTGGTTGAGGAAAGTTGAAGAAATCAAAAGTAGACTTGATTCCAGGATGGGATCCTTGGTGCTCACTTGGGTGGAATCTAGAACCCAGCCTTGTTTCTAGAGGAATATCCCAAACTTATTTCTAGCAAGTTCATCAAGATGGTCTCTTGGAGCTGTTTGCAATGCTTCTTCCCCAGCTTTCATTCCACCTGGGTTGTAATTTGGGAGAGAAGCTTCTAACACACTTCCCCCCAATGTGCTCACAATCTCACACACTTCCTCCAGTAATTGCTAAAATATTTACTTACTTCTATTATTAAATTATACGCCGGCCATCTCACCACCCAAAGCGATTCTGGGCTTTCAATGCCGGAATTGTACAATGGAACCAGTACATTACAAGCCTGTTGTTTGTTGAAATCTTGCCGTCTCAAAATATCCATGCTTGTTCTGATTGGAGATAGCTTTTCAGATGTTAACAGTCTCTTTCCCCCTATTTCGTCCATTTGTTTTCTTATAAGGAGCTGCAGGGGATTAAAATGGATCAGGGTGAGAGCGTTAAGGCCTTGGTGACGGAAAAAGAGGAGGACACAAACCACAAGGAGGTATTTTAGAATAATTTCTCCCTAGGTTGGCAGGCAGATTTTATGTTCATTTCAAACTGCAATTGTATTAATTGGAGCAAAATAGAGGCTATTTTTTTATTTACTTACGTTCTGCCTGTCATTCAGGAACTCGAGTGCATAATACTCCTGTGAGGTGGGTTGGGCTAAGCAAGAGGGACTAGACAGTGAGTTTTGGTACTTGAGAGAGAAACAGGACCTGGATTTGTAGACTCCCATGTCCGGCCCCTTCTCTACAGCCCCACCTGGCTCTGGAATTGAGAGGAAGGTACCGGCTCCGATGATTCTCCCTAGGGAGCTTCTAGCATCCTAGAAAGGAGACTCTAGCATCAGGTTTTCTTAAAATGTCACATTTGCATCTCCCCTTTCTCATAAAACATTATATTCTTAGATTTCCTTCTTCCCTCCTTCCCCCCTTCCATTTCCCCTTTCCTTTCTTCTCTCTTTCCCTTCCCCTTTCCTTTCTTTCTTCCCCTCCCTCCCTTTCCCTTTTTTTTTTTATTTGATTTATATGCCGCCCTTCTCCAGAGACTTAGGGCGGCTTACAGTGCGTTAAGCAATAGCCTTCATACTTTTGTATATTTTATACAAAGTCAGCTTATCGCCCCCACAAACTGGGTCCTCATTTCATCTACCTTAGAAAGGATGGAAGGCTGAGTCAACCTTGAGCCTGGCGAGATTCGAACTTACTTTTAATTGCAGACAGCTGGTGTTAAATTACAGTGCCTTTGTCTGCAGAGCTATCCAGGCTCATATCCTTTCTTCCTTTTCTATCTTCCTCCCCTCCCCTCCCCTTTCCTTTTCCCTTGCTTTCCCCCCCCCTTTTTTTTTTTTTAAATTTGATTTATATGCCGCCCTTCTCCGGAGACTCAGGGCGGCTTACAATGCGTTAAGCAATTCTTCTTTCTTCCCCTCTCTCCCTCCCTCCCTTTCCCTTTCCCATTTCTTTTCTTCCTTCTACCATCTTCCCTCCTTCCTTCCTTTCCTCTTTCCTTCCTTTCCTTTTCCTTTCTTCCTTTCTTCTCTTCCCCTCCCTCCCTCCTTCCCTCCCTCCTTTCCATTCCCCTTCTCCTTCCCTTTCTTCTTTCTCTCTTCTATCTTTCCCCCCTCCCTCCTTCTCTGCCTCCCTCCCCTGTTCCATTCTTACTAAAAGCAAGTAGAGTAGAAGTTGAATCAGGAAGTCTGAAAGAGCTCTTCTTGAAGCCATGGGTGGCCCAGTGGTTAGAGTGCAGTACTGCAGGCTATTCTGCTGACTGCTGGCTGCCTACAATTTGGCAGTTTGAATCTCACCAGGGCTCAAGGTTGATTCAGCCTCCCATCCTTCCGAGGTGGGTAAAATGAGAACCCAGATTGTTGGGGGCAATAGGCTGATTCTGTAAACCGCTTAGAGAGGGCTGTAAAGCACCGTAAAGGGGTATATAAAGCGTAAATGCTATTGAAACCAAGATGCTCTAATCTGTTCAAGGTTTTTATTTCTTTGCCTAGCTCAAATTCTTCCTTTCCTGAAATCCATTGATTTCTTTGGGATGTAAAATGTTTTCCTGGATGTCTTTAAGCAGAAACCGATAGCTTTTTTCATTTGGGGGATGGAAAACCGGAAACAGAGAAAGTCCTCATGGGTTTCTATTAATACAGTTTTATTTAATGGAAGGTGCAGCCTGATTCAGACATGATTGATCTGAGTCAAGTGAAAGAAGATGAGGAAGAAGAGGAAGAGGACAAGGAAGAGAACAGCAGTGAGGAGATAGTGGTATGTCTTTATGGTATTGAAACTGCCTGTCCATCTTGTGCATCTGATCTCAACATGATTCAGATTTAAAAAAAATAAAATAAAATAAAACCATCTGATTTCTGGAATTTTACCTTGAATTCAGACCAAACTAGATGTTTTCTTCAATGGTGTAATATTTTTGTGCAGGCTTATATGAAATTTTATTGCTACTGGTTTTGTTCGAACTTTAAAGCAAAAAGAGGCATAAAGGAAATTAACTTTAATTTACTGTATTTTTCGGAGTATAAGACGCACCAGAGTATAAAACGCACCTACCTTTTTTGGTGAGGAAAACAAGAAAAAGAAATCTGCCTCTGCCTCCCAGAAATTTTGCCTCTTTGTAGCAAACAGCAAACAGCCTGCTTTACTTTCATTTTCGTTTTCAGCATAGCTTGATGAGCACAAGGGGAAAAAAAATCTGCTCCAGCAATTTATCACTTTGCAGCAAGCAGCAGAGCCCTGCCCAAAACAGCTGAGAGCAAATCAGCTGAGGTCGGGAGGCAGATCCAATCAACTTGTGCTAATTAGGCCGTGCTGAAGCTGAAAGGAGCTGTTTTTTCTTGCTGTTTGCTTGCAAGGAGGTAACTGCTGCGAGGCAGAGGCCAAAGGGTGGGGGCCAGTGGATGGGCGGGGCTACATTTGGTGTATAAGATGCACCTAAATTTTCACCCCCTTTTAGGGAGGAAAAAGGTGCATCTTATACTCCGAAAAATACGGTACATTAAAACTCAAAAGTAAAGAAATTGCTACTGCTGCGATATCCTGTACCAGTGAAATAATTCCATGGCCATTTAGTTTTGCTGGACTTCCTAAGTAGATTTTTCTGTCTGTATAATTATGTTTCTCTTTTCCCCTAGGAGTCTGGAAGTATTGAGAGCAGGTAAGAATTGGAGTTTTTTAAAATTGCCTTTGTTCACGGCATCTCTGCCGGGTTTCCTGTCAGGTGCAAAAGATCAGGGCCATAAGTTAAATTGCAGTTCAGAAATACTGCTCAAGTCTATACACAAAAATCTACCCAACTAACGTTCAAATCTGAATCTGCACCAGGTAAAAGTCAACAGAATTTAAGGAAGGGGGGCTGGACTTGAACCGCTTACGGCAACATAATGATTCTAAGCTAATGACACATTTTACTCTCCCCCCCCCACGCCAGTTTTGCCTGCTCTTCTACGGTTTCACCCAAGGCTCAAAAATAAATCTCCCCCTACTGTAGGAACTCAGACTTGTACTTGGGATCTCGCAGTGATGAGTTAAATGTTCGGGTTCATAAGATGTATTTATTGCAAGTGCAATAAATTGATTACTAGTGCAGAAAAAGCACTAGTAATCAAAATCAGCCTTTGGCAGGATCAGCAGTTCAGTTCTCATGGCCCATGGTTTAGATCAGGGTGGATTTGATTTAAATCGAGTTGATTTAAATTACAATTCAAATCATGATTTAAATCACTAGTAAAAAGGCTTGATTTAAATCAACTCGATTTAAATCATAATTTTTAAAGAGCAACTGTCATCTCTGCTACTCCTTTGACCCACTGTTGACTCACCGATAGTCCCAATGTTGCAGAATATACAGCCTCATGCTACATAACTAAGCTCCATTTCATGCTGAATAAACTAAATTATTTATGTACCTTAAATAGAAAACTATCTTATGATAGATTTTTACCCCAAAAGTTTTTTATTAAAATAAATTCGATAAAAATCAAAAAAATCCGATTTAAATTTTTAAAAAATCTGATTTTTTTTGATTTTTTTAAAAAAATCATTGATTTTTATCCACCCTGGTTTAGATGTTGTCTTTTTCTCCTGCCCTTTCAAGTTTCTTCTCACTCCTTCCTTGCAATAGAGGAGAATCTCTGTAGTTCAGGGTTCAACTGTGGAGTCCTTGGTGCTCTCTTGAGTTTGGATGTAAGCTTGCAGACGTTTTATTATCTGACTAGGTAACACCACCAGTGTGAAGGAGTGTGGGGTTTTGCTCCCTCTTTTATATACAGTGGTTTGACCTTCCAGGGTTGATGGGGGCTTCAATAGACTGGGGAGCATCACTGTGTGGGGAAGTGTGCGTTTTGCTGCCTGTTTATATGTAGTAGTTTTCCTTGCCAGTTTTGGATGGGGTGTCGTTTCCTTCTTGGCAGAGGAAGGAAGGAAGAAACTAAAGATAACTCCTCAACTTACAACCATTCATTTAGTGACCGTTTGCAGTTGCAACAGCACTGAAAAAAGTGACTTTTTTTCACGTTTATGGCTGTTGCAGCAGCATCCCCCGTGATCGCATGTTCAAAATTCGAACTCTTAGCAACTGATTCCTATTTAGGACGGTTGCAATGTGCCAAGAACACGTGATCCCCTTTTGCGACCTTCTAATAAGCAACGTCAACAGGGAAGCCAGACTCATTTTAACAACCGGGTTACTAACTTAACAACTGCAGTGTTTCACTTAACAACTGTGGCAAGAAAGAAAGAAGTCCTAAAACGGGGAGGAAACTCATTCAACAACTGTCTTGCTTAGCAACAGAAATTTTGGGCTCAATTGCGGTCGTACATGTACGCCCCTACCCAAAACGGCAGGGCATGCTATTGTGTATAAAAGGCAGCAAGCCCCACCTTCCCTCACACTGAGGCTGTTACCGAGTTGGGTAATGAAACGTCAAGCTCAAGAGAGCAGCAAGAAGTCTTTATGAACTCAAACCATTTAAATTTGCACTTTGTGATCATGTCTTTGTTCCAGAGTCGATCGTGTTAATTCCTTTTCTCCTTTTCTCTCGTCGGGTTCCTCAGAGAAGACGATGAACCGCTGGCTGGGAGACTAGAGGAGATCAAGCAGAGATACGGCAATTTGTGTCAGAACAGCACCGTATTCCAAGAAATGATCCTGCGGCTCAAAGGTCGGCCTCCCTTTTGTTCAGAGTTTGTGGGGGCATCATACGGTCCCAGGAGGCTCTGGTGATGCTTTGGCTTCCAGTGGGCTCTTAGTCTCTCCCTTGGCCCAGTCAGGTTTTCTGTTCTGTTCTGTTTTGCTTTGCTTTTTCCTGCCTTTCAGTTAGTCTTGAATCTTGACAACTATCTGCCCAAGTCCCTGCAGTGTTCTTGGCAACATTTTTGGTGACGTTTTGCCCTGGCCAATAGAATAGGACTGGGACTGGGACTGGGACTGGGACTGGGGCTGGGGCTGGGGCTGGGCTGGGCTGGGCTGGGCTGGGCTGGGCTGGACTGGACTGGACTGGACTGGACTGGACTGGACTAGACTAGACTAGACTAGACTAGACTAGAATTGAATTGAATTGAATTGAATTGAATTGAATTGAATTGAATTGAATTTTTATTGGCCAAGTGTGATTGGACACACAAGGAATTTGTCTTGGTGCATAGGCTCTCAGTGTACATAAAATAAAAGATATGTTCATCACGAATCATAAGGTACAACACTTAATGATAGTCATAGGTTACAAATAAGCAATCAGAAAGCAATATCAATATAAATCGTAGGGATACCAGCAACAAGGTTTCAGTCATAAAGTCATAAGTGGGAGGAGATGGGTGATGGGAACGATGAGAAGATGAGAAGATTAATAGTAGTGCAGACTTAATAAATAGTTTGACAGTGTTGAGGGAATTATTTGTTTAGCAGAGTGATGGCGTTTGGAGGAAAATTGTTCTTGTGTCTAGTTGTTCTGGTGTGCAGTGCCCTATAGCGTCGTTTTGAGGGTAGGAGTTGAAACAATTTATGTCTAGGATGTGAGGGGTCTATAAATATTTTCACAGCCCTCTTTGATTCGTGCAGTATACAGGTCCTCAATGGAAGGCAGGTTGATAGCCATTGTTTTGAGCAATTGAGAAGGAGGAACTGGCCCAAAGTCACTCAAACCAGCTAAGGCAAGACTAGAATTCGCAATCTGCTGATTTCTAACCCTGTGCCTTTAGCAAAAAAATCAAATTGGCTCTCTTCTGCCACACCTAATTCAGTGTTTCTCAACCTTGGCAGTCCTAAGAGGTGAGGACTTCAATTCCCAGAATTCCCCAGCCGGCCACATTTCTTTAACTGGTGTCTCCCCGTTTCCTTGACTTGGTCGGGAACTTTTTGACTTCCTTCTCTTGTTTTTCTGCAGCTGGATGGAGGAACCAAAATAAGGAACGGGATTGTTTGCCCGGGGGCTCGGAGCGGCTGCAACTGAACAGGATGATGTGGGGCGGAGACGAAGTCAGCTTTACCCCCAGCATCGGGGGCCAGTTGGGAGCCCTGGACAGCCCCTCGAGGACGGTGGATTGTCTGCTGGAAGCCAGAGCTCCAATTTCGATCCCGTTCGGCGGGGGCTTCTTTGACTTCAGCGAGTTTGCGGTGCAGCAGAGTTTCCTCCAGAGGGAAGGCCAGGAGCTCTCCAAAACGTTTGGGTCGGGCCTGAGCTCCAGCATGGTGGAGTTTCGGTCTCAGGAGAAGCCACTGCCGGTGGACAAACTCTACAAGTGCAACGAGTGCGGGAAGAGCTTTGGCAAACTCGCCACCCTCAACACGCACGGCAGGACCCACACGGGGGAGAAGCCCTTCAAGTGCTCGCACTGCGACAAGCGCTTCAGCCAGAGCTCCCACCTGCAGCTGCATGAACGGACCCACACAGGGGAGAAACCCTACAAGTGCCTGCTGTGCGAGAAGAGCTACAATCAGCGCTCCAGCCTCATCATCCACGAGCGAAGCCACACGGGCGAGAAGCCCTACTCCTGCCTGGAGTGCGGGAAGAGCTTCAGCCAAAAGGCCACCCTGGTCCTCCACGAGAAGAGCCACCGGGGGGAGAAGCCCTACAAGTGCCTGGAGTGCGGCAAGGGCTTCAGCCTGAGCGCCGACCTCATCCGCCACCAGAGCATCCACACGGGGGAGAAGCCCTACACCTGCTCCGAGTGCGGGAAGAGCTTCAGCCAAAACTCCCACCTCATGGCCCACATCCGGACTCACACGGGCGAGAAGCCCCACAAGTGCCTGGAGTGCGGCAAGGGCTTCAACTGGAGCTCGGAGCTCATCGCACACGAGCGGACCCACACCGGCGAGAAGCCCTACCAGTGCCTCTACTGCGCCAAGAGCTTCAGTGTCCGCTCCAGCCTCAGCAAACATGAGCGGACCCATACCGGAGAAAAGCCCTTTGTCTGCCCCCAGTGTGGGAAGGGCTTCATCCAGCGCTCCAGCCTGGTGGCGCATGAGCGCTCCCACACCGGCGAGCGGCCTTACCTGTGCCTGGGCTGCGGCAAAGGCTTCCGGGAGAGCTCGCAGCTCATCGCCCATGAGCGGACCCACACCGGTGAGAAGCCCTACGTCTGTCCGGAGTGCGGCAGCTGCTTCAAAGCTAAGGCCGCCCTCCTCCGGCACCAACGTGGTCACTTGGACCTGAACTCCTTCATCTGTGCCGACTGCGGGAAGATTTTCTCTTCGGCCGCGGAGTCTCCGGAGAAGTGTCCTGAGTGCGTGAACCTGAGCCTGATGTCGGATCTGTCGCAGGCATCGGAAGAGGCCGATCTGGAAATAGCCGAAGGAGCGGGACAAAACGACGGCACTAAGATATGAATGGGTGAGGCCAGCTGGGCCTTGGGTGTTCTGATTTTTTGCCGGTCATAAAGTCGTCTTCCTCTTCAGATGGAGCGGAAAGGGACTGTGCTGCAGCCGACGGAGGACCAGTTTTGTCGACGGGCCGTGACTGTGGGCAGCTGAATGCCTTCCCCGCAGATGTGATGGCCATCACAGTTTTGGTTCCTGTTGCCAAACCAGGCTCATTTCAGACCCTTTGGAGGGGAACTGGAAATGCAGAGAGGACCAGAATCAAATGGACACGAAAATGAAAGAGAATGCCTGAAGTTTTAGTATCGTCCTTTGCTACCCAGGGCCTAAAATGCAGTTTCTGATCAACTGGAGATTTGGGTCTATAGCAGAGGAACCATGGGACGCGTCTTTGAGGCTCTCATTTTTGATCCACGGGCCCCCTTGCTGCCTATCCGAAGAGTCTTCGGTTTCACAAAAGGTTTTTTTTAAATGAACTGTGCTCAACTTTTCAATGGATTTGAGCTGTAAAGAACTTTACCTCACTAAATCCTAATGGATGCACGTGGAACACTTGGAACCGGGCTTGAGTCAGCCTGCCTGAGCGCAGAGCTGTTGTTTGCCTTGTGTCAAAAATTAGTGGCACAGCAGCAAAAATTACAGGAGGGGACATTAATGGAGGAAAACTGGTTTGGTCACATTGGACCTTGAGCAATTAATTCGATTCCTGTCTCTTTTCACATTTGCTTTAGATAACAAACTCAGCTGACTAGGTTTTTTTTATTATTTAATTGATAGCTAGATAGAAGTACGAGCTTTTTCTCTCCCTTTGGATGAAATGAGGGTGATTTGGTAGGACATCCCAATTAACGTGGGAACATCCCGTTGCAAGATGGCTGGAATGAGAGGCAGCTATCCAGACAGGCACCCCGTAAAAGGAGATTGCAGGAAAACACACGTCCGAACACAAATCTTTTTCAAGAAAGCCGTTCTAGGTACATCAAGAAGGTGTGGCTCTGTTGCCAGAGAGGGAAAAAATGAAATTTTAACAGTTTTGCACTTAACTCCCTGGAAGTGGAAAGCTAGTAGCTCAGGGGGCTAGTACAAGGCTACCTCTTGTACTATTTGCAGTAAATAAACCCATTTAGGCACTATTTTTCCTCATGTTTGTCCTACAGCAGTGTATCTCAACTTTGACAACTTTAAGATGGGTGGACTTCAAGTCCCAGAATTCCTCAGCAACCCTAACCCAGAGGTGAAATGTAAAATTTGTTACTACCAGTTCTGTGGGCGTGGCTTGGTAGGTGAGGTAATGTGACTGGGTGGGTGTGGCCAACTTTTTTTTTTTTTAACTTTTCAAAGCATTTTTTCTAATGCTTTGAAAAGCCTCTACCGATCAGGCAACTCAGCTGGGATCGTCAGAGACTTTTCAAAACATTTTTTTTCTCACCTCTTCAGCCAAGAGGTTGCAGAAAAAAAATGCTTTGAAAAGCCTCTGACGATCCCAGCTGAGCCACGTGATCATCGGAGGCTTTTTTTTTTTTACTTTTAAAAGCATTTTTTCTACAACCTCTTCTGACGAAAAAATGCTTTGAAAAGTAAAAAAAGAAAAAGAAAGCCTCTGATGATCGTGTGACTCAGCTGGGCATGGTGGAGGGGCGCAGGGATTTTTGCTACCGGTTCTCTGAACCACCCACCGCCATCACTACGGGATTAGGCGATCTGATCCGAACCGGGAGCATTTCACCCCTGCCCTAACCTTAGTCCACCCATTTTAAAAGTTGCCAAAGTTTTAAAAAAAAAACCACTGTCCTACAGTAATGTAAGCCATCCATTAACCACTTCGCACTTCAAACCTGACCTGTAACCTTTTCTCTCTCCTCTCTTTCTCTCTCACCCTCTCCCTCTCCCTCTCCCTCTCTCTCTCTCCATCTCTCGCTCCCTCCCTCTCCCTCCCCCTCTCTCTCCCTCCCTCTCCCCCTCTCTTCTACCTGTCCCTCTCCTTCACTAAACTAAACTAAACTAAACTAAACTAAACTAAACGTTCACTCCAGGTAGGTAGATTGTACATAGATAAACAGTAAACAACTTCAGGGCATCCATAACTTTTCCTCTCAAATGGTTCTGGGTAAAGCTTTGATAATTGCCACCTTGCTCTGCAAAAGAAAAGGGGGGGGGTGCTTTATAAGACATCAGCTTTGCGTTGGCCACCCCTGGTTGAATCCAGTTGTAAACCAGTTTAAGTGTCCTGAAGTTCTGTAGAAGAGGGGGGGAAAATGTCTCCACAAAAGAATTTTTCCTCACATGAGGCAAAACTCCTCATGAATTTCGTGAGGAATTTTGCTTCAAGAAGGCAACTGGGATTCCTTGTGAAGTGAAATCATTAAAAAAAACAATGACGTCTGTAGGACAGAGGTTCCTTTAGATCAGAAATCTCCAAAATTTAAGACTTGTTGACTTCAATTCCCAGAATTCCCCAATCTGCCAATCCATGCTTATTTCCTTCCAAGAAATTCACTGCACAGACCATTCTTTTGCATTTTTATTCAATGTGTTGACGCACACATAGAGGTGTGTGTGTGTGGTTCTGTCACAGAAATTATACCTTGCCAAATTGTTTCACTTGGCAACTTAAGCCATATATAACTGTCCAAGTGTCCATCCCCAACCTTGGTTTGTCCAGATTGTGGCTTATGGCTTCCTATCGTTAGAGTTAGGGTGAATGTGAATAGAATTGAGTTGAAAACAACTGGGAGTATCCAGGCTGGGTTAATATAGCACTGGCAATAGCACTTAGACTTATATACTGCTTTACAGCCCTCTCTAAGCGGTTTATAGACTCAGCATATTGCCCCCCCAACCATCTGGGTCCTCATTTTACCGACCTCGGAAAGATGGAAGACTTGAGTCAACCTTGAGCAGGTAAGACTCGAACTGCTGGCAGTGGGCAGAGTTAGTTTGCTTTATAGCTTTCTAAACACACTGTCACAACGACTCTTAATAGAGAAAGTCAGTGATGGCTTTTCACCACTCATACATAAAGTGCATCTGAAAATGTGAGGTCCTTGGTGCACTATGAGCTTGGTGGTTTTCTTGCAGACTTCCGTCACCCAACTAGGTAACACCATCAGTGCTGGAAGGATGTGGGGTTTACCCCTTTTAGCACAGATGAGGTTACCCAGTAGGGTGATGTAAGATCTGCAAGAAAGCAGCCAAGCTCAGAGAGCACCAAGGATTCTCTTCTGTCGGTACATCTGAAAATAACCGTGGTTAAAAAAATTTTTTTTTAATATGTCTGCAAGAGCTGATGTTTTGCAAGGCTGTTACATATCATGAAATTTCCGTATTCTTGCGAGACATCACATAAGATTTTAGACAGCCATAGACAATTACTTGATGTTTTGTGAGATTGGGTATCCTTTCTTTCTTTTTTTTTTTTTAATAATTATTTTGTAAGCACTCTTGTGGAATCTGGAAAGATTGCTGACCCCTGATGTCAAATATCACCCTGTATATGATGCTTGTATAGGCTCCTATGATCTGATGCTGTCTTCAGCAGTAGAAAATTCTTTTTTTTCTGTTTTTTTTTTTTTTTTTTTTTTACAAAATCTAATATAGGTACAAGCAATGCCTTCCTCCCGGGCTTCTTCCGTTAGTTTGGGTACTTTAAAAAAGGCACGTTATCGTAAGGACTTTACCATGCTTTCAGAAATTGTGAAATTTACACTGAATATTTAAACCCTGGGGGACTGGCACTCTGCCTCACATCCGTTGTGTTCTCATATGAGGGCAGTGCTTCTCAACCTTGGCAATTTGAAGGTGAGTGGGTTTCAACTCCCATAATTCCCCAACCAGCCACGGGGAATTCTGGGAGTTGAAGTCCACCCACTTTAAAAGTTGCCAAGGTTGAAAAATACCGTATTGGGGTTTATGTAAAGCCACCTTTCTGACTATAAGCAAGACCTACCTGTATGAATTGTATATTGTTAGAAACAGGGAGGTCTCCTTGGTCTCGTCTCCTGCTCTGGAATATTGCTCCGGTATCCAAATAATCCTCCCCCCCCCACACCCTTTTTACATTTTTGTAATGCTCTTATTTTTTTTGGGGGGGGGCGGGGTTTCCTTCTCCCCAGCTTTCTGGCTTTGCTTTCAGTGTGAATATGCTTTGTTTCGCCTCTCACTTGGGCTCTTGGTTTTTCTTCGTTATTTTTGAGCGTTAATAAAAAAATAATAAAATGATCTCTTAACATGCCAAAATTCTTCTGCCTTGTCATCCATCTTGGCCTTGGTGTCTTCCTCATCATCCAGATTCGCTTTTTTTATCCTATTTTTTCAGGACATATGAATCGTTCCATTTGAGACGGCTTCTCCTTTTGTCTGTAGTCCAGTCCTAAACCCAATCTGCAGATTTTGAATGCATTGTTTGCCAAAGAGCCAAGGTGGCGCAGTGGTTAGAGTGCAGTACTGCAGCTACTTCAGCTGACTGCTAGTTCAGCAGATCAGCGGATCAATTCTCACCGGCTCAAGGTTGACTCAGCCTTCCATCCTTCCGAGGTGGGTAAAATGAGGACCCAGATTGTTGGGGGCAATATGCTATTTAGTATACTGTCTTTGGTGTAAGCTGCCCAGAGTCCTCGGAGAGTGGGCGGCATAGAAATATGACTAATAAAAATTTAAAAAAATAAAAATCCGTAATCTTTGCAACATTATCAATACGCAGTGTCCATGCCGCCCAGTGTACGCATTTATATGCATATCTCAGAAATTAAATAAGATTGGATATAAACCCTAAATCCTAAAGATGTTTGCATATCATGTTACTCCAGAAAATACAATTTATTTTATTTATTAATATCCTGCCTTTGTTATTATTTATAAATAAGGCAATGGACATACCTAATACTCCTCCCTCCTATTTTTCCCACAACATCCTGTGAGGGGGGTTATACTGAGAGAGGGGGACTGGATGAAAGTCAGTCTTTGATCCCTGGGACGGGACTACAACTCACAATCTCCTGGTGATTGGCCCAAAGTCACCCAGCCAACTTCCATGCCTAAGGCGGGTCTAGAACTCACAGTCTCTTGGTGATTGGCCCAAAGTCACTGTCAGCCCTGGAGGCCATCTTTTTCTTTGGATCTTCAGGGCTGCCACACTTAGTGCTGTGGGACACTGGGGGGTGGGGGAGATTGCATTGAGTTGCAGAGATATCTAGCCATAATAACATTCTTTTCTTTGAGAGTCAAGGACATCTTGCCCTGCAAGATGGGTGGGGAAAACCTGGAAGCTTTCAGATTCGGGTTTTCTCACATGTGCCAATATGACATATCTAATAAAATGGAACTTTGAGGAACTTCTAACCTCGGAGTCTTCTTTGCTTTGTTTCACCTCTCACTTGGGCTCTTGGTTTTTCTTTGTTATTTTTTAGCGTTAATAAAAAACAATAAAATGATCTCTTAACATGCCAAAATTCGTTGGGGGTGTTACTTGTAACCCTGACATTCACCCAGCTGGCTTTCATGCCTAAGGCAGGACTAGAATTCCCAGTCCCCTCTCCCAACACATGGTTCTTTTCAGTATTCATTCCAGTTTGGGTTGCTTCCTAAACTAGTAAATTCCCTAAACAGTCCACAGGATGCAGTTGATATAGACTAACTTGGGAAAAGATGTTTAGACTTCCAACTCCCAGAATTTCCTTGCCAGCCTGGGGAATTCTGGGAGTTGAAGTCCATACATCTTATAGTGGGCAAGTTCAAAAAGCACCTAGTAGACAGTGTTTCCCCGAAAATAAGACCTAACTGGAAAATTTTTCAGGATCCTCGTAATATAAGCCCTACTCCAAAAATAACCCTGTTAAGATCATCAGCCAGATGGACGCATTTACTGTATTTCTCCCCCCCCAAATAAGACCTAACTGGAAAATAAGCCCTAATGCGTCTTTTGGACCAAACATTAATATAAAACCCGGTTTATTTTGGGAAAATTTGGTAGATTGATTACTGGAGATGATGCCGCCAATTGGTAACCAAGGAGAAAACATGGGAATTTTTCCAAACTGCTTTATTATAATTTCTATTCCTCACCTTATTTCCACATTTAAGTCATATTTTGCTGCAATTTATGCACGGTCATCATACTTCGAGTATGCTTGTTATGAAGTAACATTTCCACAACACCCCCAAGTTTTATCTAATGACTAAAGCAGAGGCCGCCAAATTTGGCAACTTTAAGACTTGTGTCTCTGGAGATTGTCAGTTCTCCAGGTCATGGTTGTCCCAAAGGTGCTTTTTCCAGAGGCAACTGGACTTTCTGGTTTTTGAAGAAGTTTCACTTCTCACCCAAGAAGCTTCTTCAACTCTGAATGGCAATCAGGACTAGATTCAGCAGTCCATATGCATTTAAAAGACAAAGGCCACTCTTTTGAAGACAGGATAGTCCACATTTTGGTCAGAGAGGACCTCTGCTTTGAAAGAGGAGTCAAAGAAGCCATTGATATCAAAATTGAACAACCCTCTCTAAACAGAGGTGGGGGTGGGGGATACGACATCACCTATCTCCAGTCTACAACACAGTCTTTTCAGCAGTTCCTTGGTAGTACAGTGGTCTAAGGCACCCTGTTATTAAGCTGGTTATTAAGACCATCTGCCTGCAATTACTGCAGGTTCCAATCTCGCCAAGGCTCAAGGTTGACTCAGCCTTCCATCCTTTCTAAGGTAGGCAAATTGAGGACCCAGTTTGTGGGGGCAATAAGCTGACTTTGTATAAATATACAAAAAGGATGAAGGCTATTGCTTAACGCATTGTAAGCCGCCCTGAGTCTCCGGAGAAGGGCGGCATATAAATCAAATTTAAAAAAAAAAAGTTCCAAGAAGGCCCCACACCCATTTTTTTTTTAATTTGATTTATATGCCGCCCTTCTCCGGAGACTCAGGGCATCTTACAATGCGTTAAGCAATAGCCTTCATACTTTTGTATATTTTATACAAAGTCAGCTTATTGCCCCCACAAACTGGGTCCTCATTTTACCTACCTTAGAAAGGATGGAAGGCTGAGTCAACCTTGAGCCTGGTGAGATTCGAACTTACAGTAATTGCAGGCAGCTGGTGTTAATCACAATGCTATCAGTCTGCTGAGCTACCAGGCCTTGGTTCAGAGGACTTTGACAACACAGATAAATTTCCAGGTGGCTTAATGACTCGCTAAAAGAATGCAAATGACCAGCTGTCTGCAAGAAATATAAACCCTTCCATTCTCCACCATCCAGTCAGAGCTTCTTGGAGCTTCTTGGATGAAAAGCGAAAGGTCTTCAAAGAAAAACAAGAAAGTCCAGTTGCCTCTGAGGGGAAAAAAGCACCTTTAAGACTTGTAGACTTCAATTCCCAGAATTCCCATGGCAGGCTGAGGAATTCTGGGAGTCGAAGTCCATAAGTCTTAAAGTTGCCATGTTTGGAGACCCCTGGCCTAAAGGTTAACTAAGCACCAGACCACAAGCTGTCAAGCAATCTTCAAAACCCTCAAAAGACCAGAGACCCTCAAAAGTTCTGCCCATTGAGTTCAGCGTTGAGAAAAATTCAGAGTGATGTTTCTCCATCCTTGTGGATTCTCTGATGTTTATGCAGGATCGAACTTCGACTGAAACTCTTCCCGCATTTGGAGCAGTGATACGGTTTCTCCCCCGTGTGACTCCTCTGATGCGAGATCAGGTGATCGCTCCGACGGAATCCCTTCCCACACTCGGAGCACTTATAGATTTTCTCCTCGGTGTGGATTCTCTGGTGTAAAGTTAAATGCGGGCTCTGGCTGAAACACTTCCCGCATTCGAGACACCGGTAGGGTTTTTCTCCCGTGTGGATCCGCCGGTGTAGAGTCAAATGAGTGCTCTGATTGAAGCACTTCCCACACTCGGTGCACCGATACGGCTTCTCTCCGGTGTGGATCCTCTGATGGGAAGTCAAGTGGGTGCTTTGGCTGAAACTCTGTCCACACTCCGGACATTGGTACGGCCTCTTGCCCGTGTGGATGGCGCGATGTATAGTCAGCCTCCGGCTGTGGCTGAAACTCTTCCCGCACTCCGGACAAGTGAAAGGTTTTTCTCCCGTGTGGGTCATCTTGTGCAAGATGAAATAGGTACTCTGGCTAAAACTTTTCCCACACTCCAAACATTTGTAGCGCCTCTCTCCAGTGTGCATCCTGTGGTGCTGGGATAGGTGGCCGCTCTGCCGGAAGCCCTTGCCGCATTCCTGGCATTGATAGGGCCGTCTCTCCGTGTGGATCCTCTGGTGGACTTTGAGGCGGGATTTGGAACAAAAACTTTTCCCGCACGTGTGGCATTCATTCTCTCTCCTCTCCCCCGGTGTTTGCGACTCAGCTGGGATCACCTGGCCGGCATCTTCGCTGGCGATGGATACATTCCTCTGTTTTTTGGCTGCAGCCATTTTCCTCTCCCGCTGTCTTTCTGAGTCATCTGGAATCCTTAGGGGTGCGTCTGTCTCTTTGGGTTGAACTTCCAGAGAGATCCCATTTGCTTCCATCTATTTTTTCTCTCCCCAACAGTCCTGTGGATGGAGGGGAAGAAAGGAGACCCAATTAATCATTCCAGACAAAGGTAGATGTTAGTCGACTATTCTCAACCCCTAGGCCTATGTTTCTCAACCTTCGCAACTTTAAGATATGCGGACTTCAACTCCCAGAATTCCTCAGCCGGCATGCTGACTGGCATGATTCAGAGTCATCTGAATTCCTCCAGATCCGTGTGTTCTCCACTGCGACAACTTTAAGATATGTAGACTTCTGGCTAGGGAATTCTGGCAGTTGAAAACCACACATCTTTAACATCCACACTGCTCCAGATATTGCTGAATTACTCCTCTTAACATCCCCACATCTCTAGCCACGTTTCTTATGAATTCCGGGAGTTGTAATTCAACAACATCTGGAGGAATAAAACTTACCTACCTTTGTGCTAACTATATTTGCTTAACTATGATTTAAAAGTTACCTATTTTTGTGCTAAACCAGTTTGCTTAACTATGGTTTAAAAGTTACCTACTTATGTGCTAGACCAGTTTGCTTAACTATGGTTTACTGGATAATAAAAGTTACGGACTTATGTGCTAAACCAGTTTGCTTAACTATGGTTTACTGGGTAAACTATAACTATCCAGATAGGAGCACAGTGGCTCAAGTGGTTAGAATGCTGGGCAGGAGGTTAGTAAACTCGCATTCAAGGCCTGAAAACCGCCATGGGACATCTCATGAGCTCTCATCCAACTCCTGCCATGGACATGAAAGGAACCCCCCTCCCAACTGGACATCCCCAGGGAACGGTGATGTCACCGGCTAATCCTTTCAACCTGGAAGCGCTTTGGTACTTCTGACACGAGTGCAAAATTGTCCAGATTGAGAGAGTACTTTAAGCCACAAACTCTGGTTTACAAATCAAGGGGTTCAGTGACCAACCTAAACCAACATCTTTTTATTTATGATTTTTAAAATGTCTATCCAAACCTTAACTTTAAAGGTTAATTAGTAAATGATTATGGCCTATTGTATTGCATAAGCCAGCTATTGTATTGCATAAGGCAGATTTGAAGAGCCTTGGTGGCGCAGCAGACTAAAGTGCTGTTAACTAGCACCAGCTGCCTGCAATTACTGCAAGTTCGAATCTCACCAGGCTCAAGGTTGACTCAGCCTTCCATCCTTTCGAGGTAGGTAAAATGAGGACCCAGATTGTGGGGGCAATAAGCTGATTTTGTATATAAAAAAAGAACACCGCTGGGGGGGGGGGCGAAAGCCCTACTAAGCAGGTATATACAAAAGTATGAAGGCTATTGCTTAACGAATTGTAAGCCGCCCTGAATCTCCGGAGAAGGATGGCATATAAATTGAATCAATCAATAAATAAATATAGAAGGCAGAGTATTTAGTTAAGGCTAATCAATCTTATTAATTAACCTTATTAAGGTTAATTAACTTATTTAACACATAATACAATGCTGGATGTACTAAGCAGGATGCCACTGAAGCAGCATTTCCTAACCTTGGCAACTTTAAGATGGGTGGACTTCAATTTCCAGAGCTCTCCAGCCTGCATGCATGTGGACCTCAACTCTCCATACTGGTGAGGGAATTCTGGGAGTTGAAGTCCAACCCTCTTCTATTTGTCAAGATTGAGAAACTGCTCCAAAGCATATGCCTGGCACTAAGATGCCTATGGCACCTGTTCATCTCTACAGCCACTGAACACATCTCTTCCTTGAGACTGACAATCTCTTAAAAATGGAAAAAGTGGTAGAATTTATTTCTAGGTCTCTCAGGGCTACCAGATTTAGGATGCCAACCTCCGGGTGACCAGGAGGGGGCAGTCAAAGCGTAATATCTGGATTGTCCCAAAGATGCTTTTTTTCAGGAGGCAACTGGTTTTTCTTTGAAGACTTCTTTCACTTCTCATCCAAGAAGCTTCTTCAGCTCTGACTGGATGGTGGGGAATATTCCTTGCAGACAGCTGGTCATTTGCATCCTTTTATAGAGCTGTTGAAGCACTTGGAGGTTTGTCTGTGTCCTCAGGGTCACCTGAGTAATGCTAATGGTTGGTTCCTGTAGACCAGTGATGGCTAACCTTTTTGCCATCACGTGCCAAAAGCGGGGGAAGCGTGGGGGGTCATGAGCACGCGTGCCCACACCCATAATTCTATGCGCCCCGCCCCCCCACTTGCACGCATGACCCCCCCATACTTCCCCTGTTTTTGGTTTGCCGACTTCCGGTAGAACCGGAAGGCCCGTTTTTTGCTCTCCCCAGGCTCCAGAGCCTTTCTAGGAGCCTGGGGAGGGCGAAAACAGCCTTCCCCACACCCCCGGAGTGCCTCCAGAGGCTGGAAACAAGGTGTTTCCAGACTTCTGGTGGGTCCAGAAGGCCCGAAAATCAGCTGGCCAGCACACACATGTGCACCGGAGCTGAACTCGCGTGCCCACCGATATGGCTCCGCGTGCCATCTGTGGCACGCGTGCCATAGGTTCGCCATCACGGCTGTAGACTGTAATTCCTCTGGAAATCTAAATATAAATCCTCCCATTCCCCACCATCCAGCCAGAGCCAAAGAAGCTACTTGGATGAGAAGCAAAACATCTTCAATAAAAAACAAGATAGTCCAGTTGCCTCCTGAAAAAATCACCTGGATGACTGAGAATCTCTACAGACTTTTAGCTTTGCAATTTGGGATGAATACTCTTGGAATGGTGTGGGAGTAGAAATGGATTTCCAGAGGAAAAATTGCAGACTACAGGAACCAGGGGCACTACTCAGGTGACCCTGAGGACACAGATAAACCTCCAAGTCCTTCAACAACCCTCGAAAAGGATGCAAATGACCAGCTGTCTGCAAGGAATATAAATCCTTCCATTCCCCAACATCCAATCAGAGCTGAAGAAGCTTCTTGGATGAGAAGTGAAACATCTTCAAAAAACAAAACAAAACCAGAAAGTCCAGTTGCCTCTTGAAAAGGCACCTTTGAGACAACCATGATCTGGATGACTGAGAATCTCTACAGACTTAATTTGAATCTCTGGATTGCTTTGCTGATCTGTAGGCTGGAGCTTTGCAGCCCAGCTCTCTTGCCCCTTCCTTCCCCTTCAGATCCACCCTGTCTCATCTCCAACCTGTCCCAGCCACAGATTCAGGAAAGAAGCATTTTGAGACTGGACTCTGCTTTATCTCAAATCTGGAGAGCGTTTCCCAGTCGCAGCCTGGAACAAAAACCCAACCCTTTTAGAAAAGCCAGACCTGGACGGGGCTGCGGTTTATCGTTGAGTGCAGATCTTAATTTTGCAGAGCAAGGTCAGTCAGCATACTTCTCTGGCAAACCTCTTTGGGACTGTCTGCAGTTCTCCTCCCCTTAAATCTACAGCCCCCCCCCTCCCCACCAAATTCCCTGACTTTCCTCCCCACACCACCACCAAGAAAAGAAAGCACAGGAAGTGACTTCATGGATGAGTAGACCCTCTTCATGGTTATTTTCTTTAAACAGCTTCTCTAGGCAGCCAGACTTGCAGGGTTTAACCCTTACTTCAAATTCCCAGTGAAAGAAATAAAGAAAAAAAAAAACCCTGAAAAGGCCTTTGCAGTTAACATCTGGAAGAGACACTGGAGTTTGCACGCAGCAAAAAGCCCAAAGCCGTTTTTTTCCCTGCTATCCGAGTTATGTCACTGCACGGTTACGTCTGCAAGATGGGCATTCTGAGTTCAAACAACATTTGATTGGGCTTTTGCTTTTTGGTTTATTTAAAGATAATAAACCTGTGGGAGTTGTTAGCGGCGTCAGGTTTCTGGGTATGAAAACAGGTCCTGTCACTTTTTTCAGTGCCATTGTTACTTCTAATGGTTACTATGTGAAAAAGATGTTGAGACTCTAGAAAGAGCGCAGAGAAGAGCAACAAAGATGATGAGGGGACTGGAGGTAAAACATAAAGAACGGTTGCAGGAACTGGGTATGTCTAGTTTAATGAAAAGAAGGACTAGGGGAGACATGATAGCAGCATTTCAATATCTCGGGGGCTGCCACAAAGAAGAGGGAGTCAAACTATTCTCCAAAGCACCTGAGGGTAGGAGAAGAAGCAATGGATGGAAACTAATCAAGGAGAGAAGCAACTTAGAACTAAGGAGAAATTTCCTGACAAGTCAGAACAATTAATCAGTGGAACAACTTGCCACCAGAAGTTGTGAATGCTCCAACACTGGAAGTTTTAAAGAAAAGTTTGGACAACATTTGTCTGAAATGGTGTAGGATTTCCTGCCTGAGCAGGGGGTTGGACTAGAAAACCTCCAAGGTCCCTTCCAACTCTGTTATTCTATTCTATTCTATTCTATTCTATTCTATTCTATTCTATTCTATTCTATTCTATTCTATTCTATTCTATTCCATTCTATTCCATTCCATTCCACTCCACTCCACTCCACTCCACTCCACTCCTCCTCTCTAAATGAAGTGTTGTAAGTTGAGGACTACCTGTATGTCACAATGAAAGGGAAAATATAATTAAGAACAATTTAAGCCTGTCTCACTCATAGACTGAGAATGGGAGGAAGGCAAAATTTTGGAGATGTCACAGAAGAAAAAGAGGTTTTGCCAGAGCACTTGTAGTCTTGTAGGGGTCATCCATAAATCAAATAATGACAATGCACCAGCTGTTCATTTTATTTATGTGGACCTGGTGTTAAATGTGTACATTTGTTTAACGTAAGTAGTAAACGTTCAACTTAGTGCAGAAAAGGACAGGGGGAGGGTGGAAAAGGTGCCCCTTAATTCCCTCCTCGCAACGGTGAAAACTAAAATTTGTTACTACCAGTTCTGTGGGCATGGCTTGAGGGGGGGGTGGAGTAATGTGACTGGGTGGGCAAGGTTGTAAAAAAATGCTTTCAAAAGGCTCTGACGATCCCAGCTGAGTTGCCTGATTGGCAGAGGCTTTTTTAAAAAGCCTCTGCTGATCAGGGACCTAAGCTGGGATCATCAGAGGCATTTAAAAGAAAAAAAGGGTTTTTTTCTTTTAAAAGCCTTTGACGATCCCAGCTGAGCTGCGCGATCATCAGAGGCTTTTTTTTTTTACTTTTAAAAACATTTTTCGGCTGAAGAGGTTGTAGAAAAAATGCTTTTAAAAGTAAAAAAAAAAAGCCTCTGATGATTGTGCGGCTGAGCTGGACATGGGGGGGGCATGGATTTTTGCTACCGATTCTCCGAACCACCCGCCTCCATCGCTACTGGATCAGGTGATCTGGTCCGAACCGGGGCATTTCACCTCTGCCTCGTCAGTAGATTTGATTATTTATTTATTACGTGTATTTAAAACAAATAGATTAAAAGAAGTTGGATATGAATTAAATATGAAACTGGCAGGGATTCAGAATCCAGAAGTTTCTCTGTTTTCCTTGAACCGCTTTTTATCAGAATCCATCTTCTTGCTTCATCTTCTGCAAATAGAAACATTAATCAAAGGCACTCCTTGTTATGGAAACCAGTTATTTAAGGAGGCCTCTTTTTTTGTTCCCAGGGAGAAAAAAAGCAGGAAGGGGGGGGGGGGGAGAAGCAAATGATAATATTCTTTTACTGTGCTGTTTTGTTTTTTTTAATTTGATTTATATGCCGCCCTTCTCCGAAGACTCAGGGCGGCTTACAATGTGCTCAGCAGTTTGACAGTCAGTTTGATATACAGGGGGTTCTCGACTTACGACAGTTCACTTAGTGACCGTTCAAAGTTACAACGGCTCTGAAAAAAGCGACTTTTTCAAACTTATTTGAAAAGGGGGCATTGACTTCCAACTCTTCCTACAAAAAGTTGAGGTTGGAGTGTTTATCTTGTACCATGCTAGGAAGAGTTGGAAGACTTTTTTAAACTTATGACCGTTGCAGCATCCCCATGGTCATACATTCGGATGCTTGGCAACTCGCATTTATGACGGTTGCAGTATCCCGGATTCATGTGATCCCCTTTTGCAACCGGTAAGAAAAGTCGTAAAATGAGGCAAGATTCACTTAACAAATTTTTCACTCAGCAACATAAATTTTGGGCTGAGTTGTGGTCGTAAGCGGAGGGCTACCTGTAATTGAGATCAGACTGAAATTCAACTTGGGAAGGAAGCCTAAAAATAGCAAAAGCTTCGTAACGTTGGAATCCTCCTCTCAAAAGATTTACAGCCATTGTGGTTTTTCCAATCCAGTGTCCTCCAAAGATGCTTTTTCAAGAGGCCACTGGACTTGTTTTTTTTTTTCCTTCGGAGACGTTTCGCTTCTCATCCCAAGAAGCTTCTTCAGTTCTGACTGGACGGAATGGAAGGATTTATGACCAGCTGACTCCGAGGAATATCCATCCTTCCATTCCCCACCATCCAGTCAGAGCTGAAGAAGCTTCTTGGGATGAGAAGCGAAACATCTTCAAAGAAAAACAAAGAAAGTCCAGCTGCCTCTTGAAAAAAAGCACCTTTGGGAGAACAGTAACAGGAGCCTTGGTAGTACAGTGGTCTAAAGCACCCTGTTATTAAGACCAGCTGCCTGCAATTACTGCAGGTTCGAATCTCGCCAGTCTCAAGGTTGACTCAGCCTTCCATCCTTTCTAAGGTGAGGTAAATTGAGGACCCAGTTTGTGGGGGCAATAAGCTGACTTTGTATAAAATATACAAAAGGATGAAGGCTATTGCTTTAAAAGCATTGTAAGCCGCCCTGAGTCTCCGGAGAAGGGCGGCATATAAATCAAATTTTTAAAAAAACAGAGCTGGAAGGGACCTTGGAGGTCATCTAGTCCAACCCCCCTGCTCACACAGGAGACCTAAACTAGGGATTCGAACCGCCCGAACTGCAAAAGATTGAACGTTGAGTAATTCAGGAGCGGGGGATTGATAGAAATAAGCTTTTCAGAATTTAGAGCTTAGCTTTTCCTCAAATATTATTTTCCCCCCCCCCCCCCCCCCCCCCCAAAAAACCCCCCCCAATTAGTGTCCATACTATGGAAAGAAAGAGGCGAGGGCGTGTCACCCTCTGCGAACCGGCATGGGAAGGGTTAATTCCCCCCCCCATACGAGCCTAGAAAAGACCGCTCTAGTCTAGCCCCTCTTCTCCTCCTCAGCGGAGCCAAGGCGGGCATAAGCATCACCCCGCCCCTTTCTTTTAACTGTACCGATCGCCGGCGGCTAGAAAGCCTCTCGCCGCCGGTTCCTCCTATCACCGAGAATCTTCGGAAGAGGGGGGTCCTAGAGCGCCTCGTCAGGAGAAAAAAAGGAAAGAAAAGACCGGATGTGACGAAGATCCCTTGCGTTTTTCTTTTTTTTTTTTTTATCCCCCAGCCCCCCCCCTCCCTCTGCCTGCACCCTCCGCTCAGGGGCGTCTGTGGTCTCTCTTGCTCTCCCTTCTCCCCTCCCACCGGCTGGCCAGGCGCTTGAAGCGGCGCTCCCTTCCTCCGAGGCCGAGTCGGGATTTTCTGCGGCTCTTGCGGGCGGAAGAGGCCGGTGAGTCTCGGAGGCTTCTCTGGCAGGGCAGCCCGGATCAGCAGCAGCTCCCCCCCCTCCTCCCCAGCCCCCCTCCCCCTTGAAAGGAGGGGGGGATCTGCGGTAGCCCCCCCCCCCCACCAGGGCAGCCCCCCCGGCCCCCTCCCCCCCCACGTGGGGCCTCGATTGACTCCTCCCGGCTACCGTAGTTCGCCACTTCCAGCCACCTCGATGTGGCTCCTAAAGACTCCCCCCCCCCCAAAAACCGGGGGGGGGGGCCCCCCAGCCCCCCCAACCGCCCCCCCCCCCCCGGAGATCCTTGCAAATCCTGCAAGAAAATAGCTTCCCCCCCTCCGGGGATTGAGAATGGGGAAAAGAAGCCCCAGCCGCCTCCCTTCTTCCCTTGTCCCCACCAGGCATCCCCTTCCCCAGCCAAGATCCCCTTCCAGAGAGGTCGTAGGAGGAGGAAGAGATCCCAGGGTTTTCATGTTGGCTGGGAATGCTGGGGTTTGTAGTCCCCCGAGGCCGCTGGGGGCTCTAGGTTGAACAGTAACAAAGAGTGGAAAGGGACCTTGGAGGTCATCCAGTCCAACCCCCCCTGATCACGCAGGTGGGGCGGAAGCCAGTGGTGCTAGCCGGGGGGGGGGGGTAGGAGGAGGAGGAGGCTGACAGGGAGGGCAGTTATTGATAATTATTTATTTATTTTTTTGTCAGTGATCTATAATGTCTTATTTTAAGGTAGTGATCTAAGTTAACGACGGGTGGTCCTCGACTTGCAACAACTGTAACAGTGAGAGAGTTGGAAGGGACCTTGGAGGTCATCTAGTCCAGAGGTCTTCAAACCTGGCAGCTTTAAGACTTGTGGATTTCAACTCCCAGAATTCTCCAGCCAGCTATGCTGAAGTTGACATTATTATTATTATTATTCTTATTAGTTAATCTTTAGTGAGATTCACAGCCTTTGAGGCTGGTTAATAGCTCAGCAGCTCGAGTCCTAACCAAGGACCTAGGAACTGTTAAGGTATCGTCGGAGGATGTAAGCTGTTCCGAGTAAGGTGGTTTTTTGTAGAGTCAAAATGTTCAAGTCCGGCAAATTTAGAATTTCTAAATAGCGGGGTAGCCCTTTGGGTATTGCTCCAAGGGCTCCAATTACAATCAGGATTATTATTATTATTATTATTATTATTATTATTATTATTATTATTATTAATCATATTTCTATGCCGCTCACTCTCCGAGGACTCTGGGCGGCTTACAACAATCGACAGTATACTAAATAGTATATTGCCTCCAACAATCTGGGTCCTCATTTTACCCACCTCGGAAGGATGGAAGGCTGAGTCAACCTTGAGCCGGTGAGATTTGATCCGCTGAGCTGCTGAACTAGCAGTCAGCTGAAGTAGCTGCAGTACAGTACAGCAAGTTGAAGTCCACAAGTCTTAAAGCTGCCAAGTTTGAAGACCTCTGATCTAGTCCAACCCCCTGCTCACGCAGGAGACCTGTACTAGGGATTCGAACCGCCGAGCTGCCAATCTTTCTGATCGACAAGCTCAGTGTCTTAGCCACTGAGCCACCTAGTCAAGCTGCACCTAGTGTAAGCTACTTACAACAGGTCGTTCGGAAGTTACAGCGGCACTGGAAAAAAAAAAAGGGACTTGTGACTGTCATACTTATACGACCATTATAGCCTCTATCCGTGATTGTGGAATCAAAATTCAGACCCTTGGCCACTGACTCGTATTTATGACCAGTTGGAGGGCCCCCGGGTCATGGGGTTCCCCTTTTGCGAACTTCTGACAAGCCGAGTCAATGGGGAAGCTGGATTCACTTAACCATGTTGCTAATTTAACCACGGCATGTGATTCGCTTAACAACTGCGGCAAGCAAGGTTGTAAAATGGGGTGAAACTCACTTGACAAATGTCTCACTTAGTGATGGAAATTTTGGGCTCAGTGGTGGTTGTAATTGTGGCCATAAATAGAGGACTAGCTGCAATAGAAGAGCTCAAGAATATTGTACGTGTTGCCTTTCTATGTTTTGGAGTAAGTAAAATAGCATGAATAAAATAGAATAACAGAGTTGGAAGGGACCTTAGAGGTCTTCTAGTCCAACCCCCTGCTTAGGTAGGAAACCTTACACCATTTCAGACAAATGGTTGTCCAACATCTTAAAAACTTCCAGTGTTGGAGTATTCACAACTAACACAAGTTATTCCACTGTTTAATTGTTGTAACAATTAATTCTAACTTTTGATAACATGCATTGCCATCAAAAAAGCATAAGAAGAAGGTCTGATTATCTAACTGCACCGTTGGTCTTTTCAGCATATTTTTTTCTGACAACTGCCCAAGCAGAGGCTTTTGAGAAGCTGGCATATGAGGTCATAAACCAGATATTTTTACCTTAAAGATACATTATATGAAGAGCCAATATTTTTTGTTGTTGTTGTTGTACGAGTTTTTATTTCACCATTTCAGATTAATGCTATTTTGAGATGGGTTACAGGTAGAATAAAGTCATTCTTAGAAAATCAAAGCAATATTTTAATAAATAGCACTTCAAGGCTCTCCTAATCCAGATCAGTGCTTCAAGGAAAGCAAACCATTTGGAAACAGAATATTGACTCTTAAATTCCATCCGAGAGAGCAAAAATATTTAAGTTTTGGGGAGGAATCCTATATATTTTCTTTGTTCTATAGATGTGCACTCTGGTCTGTTCTGAATGGGTTTTTTTATTCTTTAACTCCTGAATTAGGGAAGAGAAAATTATTTGTTTCTTCACCTGATAAAAAGCTTTCACTTGTAACTCAATCCGAATACCGGTACTATATTTCCCTAAACTAAAATGAGCAGTCAGGATATGAAGTTAACTTAATTTTTTGGGTAATTTTGCATTATACAGGTTAGCATTGCTCCTGTCACTGTGACGATCAAACTAAAAAGCAGAACCAGGAATTTTCTTCTTTTAAAAAATGGTGTGTCTGTTCTTTTCAGCGGTACAATATTTGCTGCTTTTTAATCCTGGGTTTATGCAGTCCAGCTCTTAATGAAGTCTTCAGGATACTTTCAGATTGTGTCATCTTGATTTGCCTTTAAAAAAGATATTGCCCTACAGTAGATTTTATAAGGTTTTTAAAAAATAATACCCTGCAGTGAATTTTAATTATTTCACGCAGTTTTAGCTGATTTTAACACACTCATAATCCTACTGACTCTGGGCAATTTACAAACATGTTAATAAAAACCTGTCATTAAAAGCCAGCAACAGAAGGCCTGGTTAAAAAGATAATCTTTCCAGCTCCCTTCTAAACTGAAAGCAAGAAGGCAGCCAGTATTTATTTCGGTGGTAAGGAAGATATACCGCAAAAAGGGCAGAATCCAGAAGTTAATTTGATCGCATTTTGATTGATATTTTTAAAAGAAAGCCTTCATCCTTTTAACAGCATCTTTTTATGTGAGTATAATTCGAGATTCTCTCTGTTGTTTTGGAGCACAGATTTGATCATTTATGTGTGGAGTGGAAAAATCCAGAAGCAAATGAAGGGAAAAATCTATAATGTCTAATGTCAAAATCCATGGTTTATAAATGTAACATTGCTTATTATAACAATTAAGAATGCATGTCTAAAAAGCTTGATCCACTGTCTTCTATAATCTTTCTGAAAGATCAATCTATACCACTCTGGCATATCCACTTTCTTGTCTTTTTTCTTTGAAAATGTTTCGTTTTTTCCATCCTTCAGTCCATCACTCTGGGATATTGTCAGAGCTTAATTGCCACTCCAGTGAAAACAATCCATGCACCCTATTTGCACACATAAGACCTGAAAGTAAACAATCTAAAACATAACTAGCAATATAATAACACCTTGTGCTGGAGAGAAATAAGATTTTACATTTATTAAGACTTCAGGTTACAGAATTGAGCAACTCGGAGCTTTTTCATTTCCAAAGCTTGTTAAAGATTTTCCTACACGCTACAAAACAAAAATAAAATGCATGTGTATTATATATTCTATTTTGAATGATAGCTTTTCCATAATGTAGTGTAATCAGGAAAACCATTCTGAATTTATATACATAATTTTAGAGTGAAAAGGAAGCCAAGCAATATTCTTGTCCGATATATCCTTCTAGATATGTTGAACAAAATTTCATTCAACATAACTATCTCGGAGATATGAATTAAGGTGATGGCACCCTAATTATCTTGGTTTTAAAAAAAAATGTTGCTCAAAGCAATATCCTTAATTCTTTAGCAAACAGTGGCTCCTGGAGTGGTTTATAAAAATCAGTACTATCAACGGAAAGGCTTAAAACGTAATCTTTGATCTTAAAATTAAGCTTTAAGGATTAACATTTAAGAGGGAAGATAGAAAACGGAAATGGGAACAACAACATAAAAATTGGCTGTCAGTTCTTAGTGTACATGCTGAAAGAAACAGTTTAAGAACCCAAGTTGAATAGTTTTTGATGAACTAACGTAACCTTTTTAAGAAGCTGCTATTTCAGCAAAGATAATAATACAGACTTGGATCGTTTTTCCCTTCCTGCTTTGTCACCTGAGAAAATAGTGTCATTATGATTTAGAATAGTTTCCTGACCCTCAATTCAGAGATGGTTTAAGTAAAAGAGTCCCTGGAGATAATCTAACCCAGTTTTCCTTTTTTTTTTTTAAATGGTTGAGCAGAACACATTATTTTTGGAAAATCCTTAGTTTTATTATAGCCAACATGGCCTATTCGCTTCCAGAGAGGGAAAACAATCAGTTCTGCACTAAAGGATCAATAAAGGAAAATATTGAATGGCTGAAAATGAGGCCGGCTCCTAAATTTAGCATAACTTCATTTTGTGAATAGATGGATACAAGTGGTCCTTGACTTACGACCACAATTGAGCCCCAGATATCCGTTGCTGAGAAAGACAGGTGTTAAGTGACTTTTGCCTCATTTTACAACCCTTTCTTGCCACAGTTAATCCCTGCAGTTGTTAAATTAGTAACATGGACGTTAAGTAAATCT